GGGGTACGAGGGATGAAAGCTGGCGCATCTGCAGCAGGGAAATAAAAATCGCTCCCCTACATGCCCTCGTCGTTACTCGGCGAGTACGCGCGGGGCATCCCGGGTAAAACGTCGTTTGCCGGCTTCGTAAATGCGGCCTACGGCACGATCGGCGTCACCGGCGCGCGAAAAGCAATCGGACGACGGGACTTTAAAGCCCAAATAATCGGGATTTTCACGATGTCGATAGGGGCGGCCGCTTATTGTTAAAGTATCGCAAAATTATCGTAAAATTATCGTAAAATTATCGCAAAATTATCGCAAAATTATCGCAAAATTATCGCAAAATTACCACAAAAGTATCACAAAATTACCGCAAAATTACCACAAAATTTTCGCAATAATACCGCAAAAGTAAGGCGAAGACACGATGCGTTGCTTTGCGCGCTCCTCTTTGTCCTTTTCAGGAGACATTGGCGATGAGCGGTTGAGCGTATGCGTACGTCGGGGAGTTTCGAGGCGGCGACGATAATTAGTCCAGGCACTAGCGGGACGAGAGGACAAGGGCGAGTGGAGTTGTAGAGGATCGCGCGGACCCTCGGGTCCTCTCACCTCGGCATAATAATAAATCGAGCAGGACCAGTGTCCGGAAGGCATAGAGAGTCTTGCCAGGGGCGGCGTCGGGGACAGACGCGAGCAAGCGGACTAAGCAGAAGGGATTCCAGCGTCAGACTTACGTTTTCCGACTGCGACGAGCGCCTCTGCCGCGGCACACAGAACAGCGTCACGCCGCCTTCTCGCTTCCTCTCCAATATAACGGCTTCCGTTTCAACGTCCTTCACGAAGTAACGATAATGAGGCCGGAGACGATCGTCGACGCGGCTGGACCAATCGGCCACCAGAACTACCAGAAGCTCTGGACTGGGGACTGCTCGGAGCTTGTGACACTCGCTCGCGTACTCACGTTGGATAACACACTGCACTAAGAGCGCCTTCGTCGGCTCTCCCCCGCGAGGAGGAGGAGGAAGAGGAGGTGGAGGAGGGAGCCCGAGTCAGCGGCCGAGAGGCGGCGAATGGAAGCGGCAACTCGCGCACCACCGGCACCAGCACCACACACGCGGGCGATCGGTCGGGCGGGCGCGCGCGCGCGCGCGCGCGCTTATACCTACACGGAGGCACTCAATGGCATTCGCCTTTGGCAGAGGTGAGTAGGCCCCGGGCGGATCGGCTGGCTCCTTTGTTTACCTCGCGCGCTCCCCTCTCCCCCGGCCCGCGACAATCCTTCGCATATCCTAGTGGCTCGTGGTAGTGGTGGTAGTGGTGGTAGTGGTGGTTGCGTTTCTCGCGGGCGCGCGCCAACATTCAGCGACCCTCTCCAAGCGCACGTACACGCGATCGGCTGGCGAGAATCGAACGGCGAGTCCGTGGCGTCGCTTCCTCGGCCTTGCACGCGCTTTCCCCTTTGAGGTTAGGTTCCTCTCGCCTTGGCCTCTCTCAATCTCTCTCGATATGCATGTGGTGCATATATACAGTCTTGGTTTTCGACGTACGGGCAGGGGACGCGTCGGTGAGCTCGCTCTTCGCTCGAGAGGACGTGGGGCCCGTGGAGGTCGCAATTGGAATTGGCGCGCGGCTGGGTTCCGATGTTTGTAGAGCGATAGAAAAACGAGGGGAGGATCGGCCGTGGGGAAAGGCGCGCCGTACTCGGCTGGTGGGACCGCCAGATACGCTAACAGGTTGCGCTCCGCGAAACGACTGAGCGAACGACCATCCATCCGTCGCCTCTCGGACTCGGAAGCGCCGACGACGAGTCGAGGCGCTCAGAATTGGACGCCAGGGTCTCCCTCCACCGCGAGCCTCGCTCCCCTCCACCGGCCCCATCCTCGTCCCCCTCGCCACGGCTTCTTTATTCCGTGGCAGCCGCCGCCGCCGCCACCGCCGCTGCCGTTGCCATTGCCGTTGCCGCCGTCACGATCATCATCGCCACCGGTATTGCTGTTGCTGTTGCTGATGCTGCTTCTACTGCTACTTCTACTGCTGCTGCTGCTGCTGCTGCTGCTGTTGCTACTGCTGCTTATGCTCTTATTTTTGTTGTTGTTGTTGTCGTGCAGTCGATCGTTCCTAATGACCATTAGCAGCGTCATTTTTTACTCTTACACTTTTCCACGGCTGAACATTCGGCCGATATTAGTCGCGACTTGACTCTGTGGCTGACATCCTGGCGAACAAGAGCCTCAAATTCGCACGGGGACCATGATTTTTTAGCAGCACGCTCCATGCTTTTCTATTGCAGGCAAAGCCACCTTTTTTACGTGGCAGCCGTTAATCGATGAAAGCGTTGCCTGGATTGTATTATAAGTCGTAGTGAGCGTTATCTCGAACGATTCCTCCTGATTTTGAAAGCGTGGCTAACTTTCGGATGCATTTTCTTCTAATTTGCAGTTAAAAATACGTTCGATCGTAGGATGATTGCCAAGCTTTTTCTTCAAATCAATTATTGAGCTCAAGAGTTTTCGTCACGTTGCACATTCTTGCAACCATGACTATTGCTTGGCTCGCGGTCTCAAATTTCCATCCCCGATGCTCACTTTCGAAGCATGTTTTTTTTTTTTTTTTTTTTTTTTTTAATATAGTTTTTAGTTTTGTGTGTATGGGGCGGTGGGCGGGTGGGGGGGGGGGGGGGGTGGGGTTTAAGCCAAATATATCTATGCAATATTTCCATTTGCCATGCGCGTCCGCGACAAAGCTAGTTCGATTAATGTAATATGAGAAAGGAAGCGACATCATTATAGGCTTTCCATTTATTCTCTCGTAGACAATTTGGATTATTATTTATTAAATAATGTATGCCTGGGCATACAGCAAAAAGCATGTTGGCTGGGATAATTGATTGTGAGTGATTAGACGTGTGTCGATTATACAAGATCAATATTGATTGTAAAAGCTACTTGAGTACCAGTCTATCAGCTTTGTACAAGTCCACAATGTTCATTTAATTGAAATATCGAAGAATGAACAATTGCCTCTCACAGTTTGTATACAAAAATTCTTGGAGAATAATATCTTCTTCTCGAACCTCTTCCTGTAATTTTCAGCGTGTGACATCCTGTTCCGCAAGTACGTAATCGTCTAGGCATATTAATGAAGCTTTTTTTTTCAGTTCATTTTTTGTTTTTATTTTATTTTAAGCTATTATAAGCTAATTATTTGTAAGCAGTATTGTTTCGCTCTTCGTCCCTCCGAATTAACCGAGATGTCTTCTCTTCAACCAAGGAGTTACGTAATTGCTCGATCGAGCTACAAGCTTATTTTTGATTCCAAAGAAATTTATAATTAAAAAAATGACATTTTTAATAACTTGCGTAACTTTCGCGAGGAATGTGTGCGTCATTGGAAGTGAGTCATGACCCGTAACGTTACGATTCCAGTTAAAATTACAAAATTCTTTATTTATAATAATTATAATCATGTAATGCATGGATATGTTAATATTTCTTGAACTAACGCATACGCAAAATGCAATATCAACTGTTCGTTCTTTTTATCAGGGACATGGAGAGAAACGTTAAAAATGTTTAATTGCAATATTCACGCTTTGGTGATTTTAAATTTAAGTCGCTCTATTTATTTCTGCACTTTATATGGAATCGAAAACTTTATAATTATTTTTAAACGCTGTTATTATCAATTGCAAACTTATCCGAGTGCGGAAAATGCCTTAAACGAATGACTATTGGAGAAGAAAAGGTAAGAGCGGGAGAAGATAAACTTTTATAGTTTCAAAAGTTTTGCATAAAACTTGTATAATATGAAATACAATACAAAAAATGACGGATTAATTGCAATAATTTCAGTTAATTTGAAAATGTATATATTACCATTATCTCGAATTACGTAGTAATGCAATAAGGAAGCAGCAATCTTACCAAATTTGTTAATAGAATATCATTTTTAAGGGAATGAGGATGAATATAACGATTGATTTCTAAAATGATTAAATAAATACCCTGTTAATTTATATCTACAATAATAAGATTCAAGATAATGCATTCATGTTTTAATCGTACGCGTGCTTAGATTCGTTGCAAAATTTGCTCCGGTCAATGTGACGGATTTCTTTGATTTATTGTTATAAACGATATTAAGGTCTGGTCAAAAGCTACAACAATCGTGTTGAAGAAGAGCGTGGAACAACGGAGACTTGGTGCAAATTCTGCAAATTATAGGCCTAATATGATTTAGGAAGATTAGGAAGATCTTTGCATGTACCAACTAGTTTTTCAATCGTCACTTAGCGACGTTGGATATTATCGCCCATTACATTTATCGACTTGTTCAGGTAAAGCTTCTGTACATTAACGAAGCATTACAATATCATTGACGTTGGGCGCCATAATTCTCTCCATATCCGTTTGTCTGCCCGTAATGCTCCGGCAGTAATAACTTTGAAAAAATACGTAAAAATGCACAGGAGAAAAGATACAGGGAGCTTATTAATTGTTAAGAGTTCTAGGCAATCGAAGCCGTTTATCCAATGGCGTAGGAAAAAGAACGTCCCGGACGAGATGAGCACTGCTAACTTCTGGAATTCGCAGCGGGGGATGCGCAAGATCAGCCCCTCCTGGCGAATATCCATCCATAATTTAGCCAAGTCGGTCGTCGCAGCTGCGCGACGCCGACACGCGATAATGTAGGTGAGGCTCGTTACGCCCGGTTGTCGGCCACATGCGCGAATACGGGGATCCGCGTGGAATCAGCGCGTGTGGCGCGGCTTTACGGATGATAAAATCGCACTTCCGGCCCTCCGACGCGCTACTTACCTTCGTCCCGTATTACGCTGGCATTGGACGGGAGCCGATAAATTCCTTCGCTTTCAGACTTGAATTTTTTATGAGCGTGCCCGGATTCAAGGGTTGATGACTTTCTCGCTTTTACATAATTTAATAAACTTTTCCTCTTGATTTTCGAGTTACGATCTGTGCTTACGTGGGTGGATGTAGGTAGATGTAGGTGGATCCCCAGGCACCTGAATTACACATGTGCAACTTTACTTTATTTGAGCTAATTGCAATCCCATCTTCTGTGTATCTCGCCACATCTGCTTCTCCATACAAAACTTAATTTTACAATTATTATTATTATTAATATAATCAGTTATGCTTAATTAAATGTTCGGGTAATGATTTTTTTATATGCAAATCGTCACGTTGCATTTGGCTAAGATTTAAAAATGAAAATTTGACAAATTTAAATAATGAATAAAAATATTGTAAAGATTTATCCATTCGTTCTAAAATATAACTAGTTAATATTACTATTAGAGTAAATATAAATGCTAATTTGGTTATTTATTTAAGAATAATTTTCATTCGTTCAATTGTTCGCGAATAATAATCCCAAAAGTCGTCTTATATTTTTAATTGGTTTTTCTATACTCATTTATATATTATAAATGATGTGAAATGCAAAAGACTTACCCTCTATACAAATAAAACCAACTTTTATTCGTTTGAATTACTTTGCAAACTATTAAAAAATGTGAGGCTACTCGAAGAAGAGAATGTAAGCAGTTGGATTTTATTAAAAATTAAAATTTATATCCATAGGGATGACCGCAACTGAAAAGTCAGTCAAGGAGTTTTTTTTTTTTTTTTTTTTTTAATTTAAGATTTTCAACACAAAGGCAGTAATATGGTTTTATATAAGTAAGTAGTGGCGTGTCGTTACAGGAAGAGGAAATTAAAAAAATTTTTCTAAACCCATGATCATAATAGAAAATTAAGAGGTTTAACAAAACATTGTCCACGAAAACTGTTTCGAGTTTTTATATAAAGTAATTTCACTTGTGTAGGCTTGTGTGCATTATACATTTGCTAACTGTATACAAACTTTCTATATTTATGCGTATAGAAGAGATTTATCACAGAATTAATCGGATATTCACAGAAGTAAAGGTCTATAGTAAGAGTAACCTATATTATATTCATGATTGCCCTGATGTTCCAGCAAACCACAAAAATATCAATGATAGTGTAAGAGATCGCTTAGTCAATGTTAAGTATTGAATACAAATTTAATTTAAGATTTTTATCTCAATTGTATTAACTTAATTTGGTCTTATATTAATGATAAAACGTCTATTAATATTCTCGGTACAACTTATTTCCCGAAATCAGTATAATCTAGATTTCTTAAATACTTATGAAATGTCCTTATTGATAATTTGATAAATGACATGCTAACTTTTTGCGATTAAAAATTTAGATTCGTTGAAGTGAATTTCCAATTATTAGAACGCAATTATTCGTTTATCGTCCAATTACTATTGAATTGTCATTGGAAAATGTGAAAAAGTGTATAAAACTTCGTATTAGCTTTATGCTATTACGAGTCAGCTTCGTGGCGCTAATTTCTTTTACAATATTTTCTCTACTATTTGAAATCTTTTGTTCTTCTATCAGATTTTGTGAATGCACTTACTACGGCATGTGTCGTCTCTTTTGTTAAAGCTTGTCATCCGAATATCACAGACGCGAAGAACAAGAAATTTTAGAAGGATTCCATTATCGACTGGCGCGCATAAGACAGAGATAAACTTGAAGCGTGGATAGAGTAATCGATACAAGCTGGGTATCCATTGAAAATATCGTAATGCAAACTATGTGTCGAGAGGGAAAAATGTCGGAGATCCGACCATTCGGTGCAACTAGTGAAAGCGAGAAAGAAAGAAAGCGCTATGCGCTGGATTGAGGTAGTATGATTGGCGTAGTAAAAAATTTGAATTATCATTGTCGATATTTACACATGTGATATTTTAAATAATTGCGCCTACAAGGATATAGAGGGCCCTGGCTGTAGCCCACTTTTAGTTAATTGGATGAAGAAAGTGAACTTAAACAGAGTGTAACATTTACTTTTAATATCTAATTCTTACTTTTCCTTTGACTCTCTCGAAATTTCTTCGAGTCATAGAAACGCTATTATTATTCGAAACTCTTGGTACCTTTACTCGTAATTTTTTTTCTTTTTCTGTTCATTCATGTTCACAATTCAGAGTGACAATTTTTTTTTAATAATTTAATCGCTACATTATATAATACATGATAATGTCGTATAAATTATTAATAAATTATTTATATTCAAATATGCATAAAATGTCGTTTAAGCTTCGTAAACTCATCGATTGTTTAAGTTAACTAAAAACTCATTTTGTTTTTAGAAACTGACTGAATACTTTCATTTTAATATATTTAAAACTAAATGTACCTTCAAGCTCCGATTAGCAAAAAAAAATATTTTGTTATCTACGAAAAGGATATTGACATTTTCTTTTTTTTTTTTTTTTTACTATTATTATGCTAATACAATTGTAGCCTTAATAATCTATTAATTTGAAAATCCATTGTGGGTGCTTAATTTTTTACTTAATAATATAAAAGTAGTAACTAATAATAGCTCGATAATATTATAACCTTTTATCGCTTTATTGATTTTCCATTATTTTATTGATTTTAAATAATAGTAATTTCTCCACGTAAAATTACTAATTTCAAAGCGAACTAGAAAATACGTGTGTTTATATGGAAATGTTACAGTGCACTTAACGAGATGAATAAATGATAATTAAGCGTATGAATATGTATTATGAGCAATTGTTGTTACATAGAAAAAGTATGAAAAAGAAAACGGTATTTCGTAGGTCCTTGACAAGGAAATACAACATTTTTCTATAATTACGAAAAAGCCGTACTTTAAATCGAACCTAACGTAAAGAAGAAGAAAAAAATGAAAAAAAAAAAAAAAAAAAAAACAATGAACCACCGGTTATTAAAATGGGAAAAGCATAGAAAATACGTGTCTGTTCTACATGTCACGCGAAGTAGCCAAGTTAATTACTTCATAATTATGACGGTCGTTGGTGATGCTCTCACTTTGCGTCACAATGCTCATGCGGCGTGAGCAAGTACCGTTGTTACCTTTATCGCTAATACACATGATGTACGTCCAGGCATACGTGCAAGTACGCTAAAATACAGCAACGAGGAGGAGTACTCCAAACGCTGGACTCTCGCAGCTCATAATTTTATACAACGCCTACATTTTTCAGTGGAAGAAATATTAACGACAAAGGTACTTGTACATCAAGTCAGAGGATCAACGTTATGAAAATATCATGTCGTAATAATAAATTATATTTCAATGTAACTACGATTTGAATTAAAAATAATATTTACTCATGTATTGTAATAAATTCTGAAATTAATTGTATTTCTTAATGACTTAACTTCTTTATTATAAATAATACGCACTAAATTTTTATGCAATTTCGTTTTTGATAATGAAACTTTATGGCCGTATAATAGAAATACATATAAAATTTTTAATAAAGCGTCAAAAGGGTATCTATTTAGATTATTAAAATAAAACTTTTATAAATGTCAATTTACATTGTTTATACGCTTATTTATAACTCGATGTTTCGTGTATCATTCGAATCAAAAATTTAGATTTTTTTTTCTTTAGACAAATTATTAAAATATACTTTAAATTGCTCCATTAGATTTTCATTATAAATTACCATTCGAATTATAAATTTTATTTGCAATTAAATAAAAAAAATCAATTATTAAGATGTTTAAATAAAAGGGCGCGGAATGAATTCAGTAATAAAAGTAAATAGCAAGATTCTTCTTCTTTTTTTTTTCTATTCATGCAATCCATGATATATTAATTACTGGAGTTACTAGAAAATTTGTTATTATTATTATTGATAATATTCAATTTCACGATTATTACTTGATGTAGAATTTAAATGGCTATTAAAATGTAAAATTCGGTATTAAAATGAGTAGTAACGGCGAACTTCTACAGTATTATAAAATTGCCGTATATAATGATCTGTTTTTGCACGTGCGTATGCGCGTGTAATATACATATTAATTTATAGCGTATTTAAACAATATTGGCTCTCACGCGTAAGAAAAAACTATTCTGGAGCGATAAATATACCAAAGTTAACAGTATCGACGTGGTTAATTGATTTTGAAATTGCTGGATAGCTATTTCATACAAGCTACAAAATAACGATAACAAACAAAAGATAATTATCATTATCATTATTAAAAAACCACTGATTCTCAATAAATCTTCTTATTTAAGATTAAACATATAGCTTATGGCATAGGATTATGTCAATTGAAAATCTTGTGGTATATTTCTCATAGAAACATTCCATTATTATTTTATTAACATAAAATTGACTTTGTTGTTAATTAAAAAAATTGATAACAAATATGCGAATGTCTATTTATTTAGTTCGGTTTTTCACTTCTGTTCAATTTATGCATTTTCCTTTTTCAATTTCCGCTGCTTGAATTACAATCACTCGTTTTACTCGATTAGCGTACTATCGCAAAATTGATTATACAACAAAATTATAGATAAAAGACATTAATATAAATACAACTTTCTTAAGCAAGTTACGGGCACGTAATTTTTATATAAGTGTAATCAGATCAAATGTCACACTAAAATTAACAGATTTACGAGTCATTTATGTTTTTCGCATTGACAAGTGTATTGAATGCTTCTCAATCTTTTATTATTGGGAACTTAATTGAAATCTTAGTATTATTACGTCATTTTCTTAATCAGTTGACTTAAGATAAAAAAAATTACATTTCATATTTATATATGAATATAATAAAGAAAAATAAAATATTGATCATTCGTTCATTTTCTAAATTAACTTTTTTTTTACATACGTATAATGTACGATTTAAAATCAGTAGGTTAAAACTACTAAATTTTTCTTTAAATTTTATTTTTATTAATATTACCGTTATATGAAAAGAATGACATCATTTACTATTTAATGGCATATAAATAAGGACATAATAAACTTTTAATATTCGTCGAAATATCCGTTAAAACATATTATAAATTATTTAATATGTATGCTTTGATAAATAAATATAAAAAAATTCATATTCAAATCGAAATTTGTGGGATATTTGCAATTTAAATTAAAATTATTGTTAAATAAAATTATATTTACGTTTATAGAGATATACATATGGTTAAATACACCCGGTCTTATTTATAAATTTTATATTTTATTAAAATATGTAAAATTATACAAAATAATTTATTGCGGAATTCTATAAGATGGTTCTACGAATGGATCAGAAGAATTTGTACTCTTATTATTGTCTGAATTAGATTTTATAAATTCGTCTTGTTCATTTGCGTTATGTATAAAATCAATCATAGGAATAGAAGTTTTCTTTCTAATAGCAAATTCAATTTTACTTGTTAGAATAATTTCTAGTGGTCTGCTAATAAAATTAATGACTTGACAACTATTTGGACTACCGATTCTTCCAGTTCTTCCACACCTTAAACAAAAATTATGCACCCATTAAACAAAAAGTTTTTTTTTTAAACGATAATTACAATTGATAACATTATTTAAGTAATATTATTTTAATTAATATGGGTGTCGATCTTTCATTATTATGTAACAAAAATAAGTTAATTACCTATGAATGTATTCTGATGAAATTAATGGAAAATCATAGTTAATGACTTGTTGAACGTGAATGGTATCAAGTCCTCGTGCACCGGCATCTGTAGTAACTAAAATATTAGATATTCCAATTTGAAATTCGTTAAATTTACCGCGTTTTAACTCAATAGGCATGTCCCCGTGTAAACGAATGCAATGAATATTATAAGACTTCAGAAATAGTGAAACAAAATCACATGTTTTAATGGTGTTGGTAAATATTATTATCGGAATTTTACTTTTAATTTTGGCTTTAATGAGCTTTAACAATTCCATTGGTTTATCTGCTGTTTTCAGTCTCAAAAATTTTTGTGGTACGCTAATTTGGTGTTGATTCCCACTTACCACTGGTTCTAAATAATTATTCTGAAAATAATAATTATTATTCATAAAATATATTGTTTAAAAAGAATTTTCATAAATTTCAGTACCTACTTTAACAAATGAATGTAGCTTTGAAGGTAAATTTTCAGGAATTGTTGCTGAACTCAAAGTTAATTGCACTTGATATGGGAAATTTGGATTTGAACAAAAGCTTTGGTCTGAAACCTAAAAATTTGTATTTATAGTGCAATTAATGATATAATAGAATATAAATTATTAATCACATTCAGTATTATGAATATACTATTATTAAATATATATATATATATATATGCCTATCCGTGATTAGAAAATTACTAATTTACATAATTACTAATGGTAAAAGAATTAAGCTTGATGTTTAATTTATATTCTAATACTGAAAATTTTAACTTATTTAATATAAAAGATAATTTTAATACAGGCATTGTATGTATAAAATGAGATAGTTTATCACTAAAAGTTGGATCCAGTAAAACATCAGCTTCGTCGAGAACAATATGTCTGACATAATTCATATCGTAGATATTCCATGTCACCAACTTAGATAATACTCCTAAGCTTGCAATAATAAGATCAACTTGATGAATTGGTGGATCTTTTGCTATTTTCATTGTTTGTCCCCCGATATAGCTACTAATTTTCAAATCCATCTGCTTAGATAATTTCTTTGCTTCGCTCTATAAGAAATATAGGCATTATAGACAAATTTTAAGGAATATAAACAGTATAAAAATAAAATTAGAAATTTTATTACTTACACAAATTTGCAAAGTTAAATCGTGGCTTGGTGTTAAGATAAGTCCTAAAGGAGAATTTACTTTTCTTTTTATCATTGGCTTCCAATTACTTATTTGATATAGCAACGGAAGTAAAAATGCAAATGTTTTGCCACAGCCTGTTTCAGCGGTTATAATAATATTTTTTCCACTTAGTATTTTTGGGATACTTAGTACTTGTATATGAGTAGGATGAATAAAATTTAGTTTTTCGAGATTCGTCACTAACTGTCGATTTAAAATTATGTCTTTAAATATTTTTGATTTATCCACGGTATTTACATTGTCCTAGAAATAATTTAACACGGAAGATTAATTGGAAAAAATGAATGGATTATACAAAGATCAACATATAATACCACTGATATAATTAAATATATGCATTAATGTATTTGTGAAATTAATTCAATAATTGTCAAGCTGAAAAATAATTGAATAAATAAATCGAATAAACATAAATCTTATTTGTATTCTAAAATTTCATTTCCATTTAATAATTGTATTTTAAATATTCTACTATGTCAGACGGTCTTTTAATAACTTATTTATCAAAATTGTTTTTATAATACAAGGATTTTAAATTTTGGATTTTAAATTTTGGATTTTAAATTAAAATATAATTTAAAATTCAATAGTCAATTTATCAATTTCTACTAACACTATTATTCAAATAAAATTTTTTCTAAATAAAATATATATAGAAAATTTGCATATAATATACAAAAGTATATAATTACATTTTTAACAGGATATATCGTGAAGTAATCACCTCTTGAATCTTTGTGCTGCCATCCTCTAGAAGCCAATGGTATTATTTGAAACTTAGAATAAGTTTGATTTTTATAGAAATTAAAACTAGATCTTTTACATTTTATAATATACGTGTCTTTATCCAATTTTTTTTCCTTTTTTGATGCATCGGGAAATTGTTTTTCTATTTCTTCATTGCTTATAAAATCATTGTCTAAATCTGTCTATTATGAAAATTTTATAATTAGCACATATAAAATAAAATAAGTTTAACAATAACTTCCTTACATACCGAGTATTTTATTGAAAATCTTCTTAATTTAACAATTGATTCATCCACAACTTGATAACCATTTTTATAAAAATATCGTAACATTGTAAGACTTTTTTTATTCAATGTACAGTCTTTAAAATAATATATAAAAAAACTTGTATTTATATTTGTTTACGATTAGTTAATTTTTTCAAATAAATAATCTCTTATTAAAATTTTCATGTGATTTAAATATACGAACATTATTACAAAGTGTAATGCAACGTTGAGTCTGATTTTGTTTTTAAGAAACTGACCTAACCTATTTCAAGAAGCAGTTATGCAACAATAACACGTGAAAAGTTATGTGCATCATTCGATTAAAAACTATAGAATAAATAGACTTGATAGATCCTTGAAATGAAATTTCGACATTGAAACGAGAAACATTTCATTTATTATTCATAATTTTAACAATATAAGCTAAAGATTTTGTAACTCTGTCGGTAAAAGAGAACATATATATATATATATATATATATATATATATATATATATGAAAAAGTATCAAAATAATGTTTGTAATAATTTAAATATCTTTAATAAGAATATTATTTGTACGAGTTAAATAAATAAGCACTCCTGATATCATAAAAGTTCCATAAATTACTAGCAGTCGAATGTTAATTTTTATTTACTATGTATAGTGAATTATTATTTATTAAATATACATATTTTAATAGCAATTGTATTAGTAAATTTATATTAATTAAGATTGTATATTATTTATATATTCCTTAAAAAAATATACATCACACGTGATTGTGTATTATAGTGCCTTTTTAATATATATTTTTATTTTAGTAGATTAATGAATTTATATAGAGGATTAAAACTATTTCTGTAAGATTGGTAAATTAGAATAAATTTTGATGAATATTCTATATAATTAAAGAAATTTTATCAACAAATTCAATTCAATTGCGAAAATTCGAAATATCAAATTTTATGGAAAATATTATAAGTAATAACAAAATCAATCCATCTTATACAATTCATTAGGATGTATATTTTTATTTAGTGTAGAAATTTTGTTCATATAAGACATAGTAAAAAGATTGTCAAGTCCATTCCTAATAAGTAAAAATATTATTGTATCTATTACTGGAATATGCATCTCTAGAAACAATTAGGCAACAGTAATTATACATTAGGTATATAAAATTGTATATTGCAATCTGATATAAGAATATTTATACATACACTCGCAGTGTGCAACAACGACGCAATGTGAAAGTACAAAGTTAATTATATGTGCGCTATTGTAAAGACACATAAATATTGCTTAGAAGGTACATTCAATATTGCAAAATAAATGTAAACGTTCTTTATTTTTCTCAGACTTGAAATAAAGTTTAATTTCGTGATATACAAATAGTTAGAGAATGTCATATGGGTAACCGCATTTAAAAATTTTATTATTGCATGGATTATCTTATGTATTATTAAAGTTATATCGCTAGATTCTGATGATAACATATCTGATGATACTTATCTGATGATCAAATCTTGAAATCGGAATAAATAAATATTTTTTTAGTTCGAATAACGTGTAATCTAGAATGTTTACATAATCTATAACGTATAGCACGCATCCTGCATCTTTACCGTATTTACTTATATATTTATAATGTCTGTTTCCAATAATATTGTCAAATATTGACTATTTAAAAATGCTGAAATATATCATTGTGTATAATCAAGACATTTTTATTCAATTTCAAACTATAATCTACTTTACCTTCCTTGCATACAGTGCACACCAACGTGTATTCTTATATACGCATTATTAATGTAATTTTAAGATTATGTAATAAAGTATTACTATTTCATTAGAAATATGTTATAAAATTTTAATAAATCCCGTATGATTTACATAAATTGTAAAATTCTCTTAATAAGGTATTTTCAAGTATTTCAGTTTTCGTATAATAAATACTTGTGAAAATTAACGAGTTAATTTTAAATTTAAAATCATAAATATAATAATTATAGTAGGTCACATTGAACAATTTAAAATGTGTAATAATATAAATTCTTCGTAGAAACGATTGTATATGCAAAAGTAAATATACATATATAATCAATTCGGTATTTGAATTTTGCGTAAGTTAAACGATATTTTTCAAATTAATGGTTTTAATTTGGAAGCAATTGGTTGAAGAGTATTTGATGTTGTATGAATATTACAAGTGATAATAAAAATAATTGGTAATAACATGACGATGATGTTGCTAATGATGGATTGATGGTTAATAAAGAAATTTATATAGGTGGGCTAAATAATATAATTGATATTGTACAGATTTATACAGATCTCTACACTATCGATGTTATGTTTGTTTTTTTGTTTTTTTTTTTGTTTTTTTTTTGTTAATATAGAATACTAGAAAAAGTAAGCAAATTTCAAATAATTCTAACAATACGAAAAAATTTTTAAAAAGAATCAATAAAAAGTGGATAGTCTATGGATTAGATTATTTCATCCTCTGATTTACGTTGAATTAAAAATTATTTTAATTTTTATATCATCTGCATTTGGGAATCTATATATTTATATTAAAAATACATTTTATTATTATTTAATTTGTAAAATTAATGGAAAAAATAAAAATATTTTCGGGTTACGTTTTTGTATTATTTTATTGTCTTTGTTAAAAATATATCTTAGAAAATGGTAAAATTATATAACAAGTAGTTAGTAAATTATACTTTTTACTTCAAAATACACATATATCTTACAAATTATTAAATGTTTACTACATAATTATTGCTTATATATATAGAAAAATTTCAGTTTATCTTCTATTAATACAATAATAAATTATTCATTTCTATGAAGACCATAATAATGCCATTGAAACAATAAACGAAGAGTACGTTCGGTTAATTACAAAATTATTATGAAAGCTTTTGTATCATTCTCATTTTTGAAATATATAATATATAATTATACAGTTATACAGATAGTTTTAGTTTTCTAGTGTATTATACGTTAAAACGCTCATACAAATGATTGCTTAACATATTATGTACTTAATAATGACAATTATTGTATTTTTATGGCAAACGATTTTTTGTATAAAAAGCACTTTATATGTTAATAGTATATTCATTTTAAATGTCTTATACTCTAAGTACACCCTAGTGAAAATATTTATATATTTTATAAAAATACAATTCAAGATGCAGCAGGCGCGTGTGTAAATTTTGACAGGATTTTAAACATGTGTTACATATATTAAATAAAACGAACATTTCAGATGAATGAACGTATTTTTAATGAAGAAAGAGAATAAAAAGAAATTCAACTGTTCGTACAGTATGTAAGTAGTAAGAAATATCATAGTGTTCCAAGTAATACATGTTTTTTATGAATTTTTTTTTACGTTTTCATACGTTGAATGAAAACGTAATGAATACGTTTGTGTGACTTACAATTTTTTTTAATATTTTCATTATGGTAGTGGCACTGTGATACGTATACTTAATCTGTACACAAATATATAAAGTTATAATCGATCGATTTAATATACTTTCATGATATAAGCAGAAGATAAATATCGTAGGGGAAAATAGTTTATGCGTTAGGTAAAGCAAGAATTTTATTGCTTGACGGAAGAACTTGGATGACGGAGAAACTTGGATTTGAATGGATACGAGTTTGTCGTTCACAAAAATGTGCTATTAATCGACTTTCTAATAACACTGGAACACCGCATTAAAAAGAGCATTTTATTATTTGTTCGCGCAATAATGGCCGATGTCAGTGCAATTAATGCATGCAATAATATGGGAATTTTTATTAATGATTGACTAATTGAGGACTAAATTGAACGCTGTAATTGTTATAATATTGCGGAAAGAATTTTTGTTTTTTTTTTTTTTTTTTAATAGGGTTGAGTCAAGCGGAGATGTAATTTGGCGTAGGAACGTTAGTAAATGATCAAATGAGCCCGCACTGGTGACTGGAGGAGGCTCGAAGTAAAGGAAATGAGGAGAAGAAGGAAGGAAGGAAGGGAGTGAAGCGAGAGAGCGAACAAGCGAGCAAAGCGCGGGTCAACGGAAGAAGAGGAGAACGATGATAATGATGATAATGACGATGATTGAGACGACGAAAGAAGATATACTCGGAGAATACGGAGATGAGAGCGTCGGAGATTTCGGGCAATTCGCCGAAATGTATTGCGAACGGAAAGAAAGACGGCGGACAATAGTTGGATCGTAATTAGAGGGTGGGGGGGGGGGGGGGGGGGGGGGGGGGGGGGGGGGGGGGGGGGGGCGGCGGTGGCGAGTGGACGAGTGGGCGGTCGGTGAGTGGAGTGGAGCCGAAGCTGGATGAGGTAGCGAATAGGTGAAGGAGGAAGAGGAGGAGGAGGAGGAGGAGGAGGAGGAGGAGGAGTAGGAACGGCCGAGGTCCTAGTGACAGCCGCAGCTCTTGACCACCATGTTCTTGTACTTCTTGAGTATGACGTTGCTCTCGTCGAGGAAGTACAGGACGGAGATGGGCGAGAGCTTCGTCGGGGCACAACAGGGCTTCGGGACCTTGCCCGGGTTCACGAGGTGCACGAGCGTCTGGACGATCGCGTGATTGGTCGCGTTCATGTGGGCGTTGAGTGGAAAGTTGCACTCGCCGCTGCAGTAATAAGCGTCGTAGCCGTCGGGTGCGATTATCCAGTCCTGCCACTGGAGGTCGCGGAAGCTCACGTAGAGCGTCTGTATCTTACAGGTGCGCGAGTTGTACTGGACTTGGGGATCGGCGTAAGGATTGCCGGGTCTGTAGTCCAGGGCCGCCACCTCGGCTTTCTTCTTCCGCTTGGCCTCGCGCTTTTGTCGTACCTTCCGCTCGCGCAAGCCCGAGCTCTTGAAGAAGCCGACCATGAATGGCTGCCTGTCCGCGGCGCCCCGGAACCCAACCAGGCCCACATCCTCGGGCCGCATCTCGTGCACGTGCCGCTCGGCCGGGTGCACCGAGAGGTAGAGGCCACGGTTCGCACCGGGGTCTCGCAGCCAGTGCTCAAGGGCCGCGCTCACGTTGAGTGCGATCCAACCCTCCCGGCCACTGCTCGCGTTCACCGCGTCCAGGTACTCGAGCTCCCGCTCACCGTCCTCGAGCCTCAGGACCCTGTAGGCCGTGAGGGTGAAAGAGCCGCGGTTGCGCGCCGGGCGCACCGCCTCGAGGCCCCGGTACAGCCTCAGTTCTGCCCCGACGACGCGCTCGTCCGTGGGGGCCTCCGAGACGTCGAACCAGAGCCTCTTGCCGCGCTCGTGCCTGACGCTCGGCACGTGCTGATTCCTCGCAGCAAAGCTCATTATCACGTCGCTCTGGTCGATGGCCCTGAGATCCTGGCCGCTGAGCTCGGGCCTCGGGCTCGAGCCCTCCTCTAACGCGCTCTTGTAGATGTCCAGGAGGAACTTGGGCGCGGAGCGGCGCACCTGGGGCCGCCGGGGCGGTGGCCGCTCCGGCAGCCCCAGCAGGCTCAGGATCTCGTGTTCGACCTCGCGACGCTCACGCTGCCCGACGACGCGGTGCACGAGCGTCTGATCGAAGCCGTTGTCCACATAGAGGCCACTCGGTCGCTCGGCCTTGCCTGGCCGAGGGACCAGTGGCGAGAACGGCAACACCAGCAACAACAACACTAGCAGCAGCAACGGCGGCGACGACGACGACGACGACGACGACGACGACGACGGCAGCGCGGACGTCATGACGGAGGCTAGAGCGCGCGGAGGCGCCTCATCTCACCCAAGGATTTAGCTTGGAGGCTGCGATGGACGCGCGCGCACTGGTTGTCGCCGGCCGAAGCCGCGGCCTCCCGCTCTCTCTCTCTCTCTCTCTCTCTCTCTCTCTCTCTCTCTCTCTCTCGGCCTCCCTCCTCGCATTCCTCAGCGAGAGGCGCTGTCGCTGCCCCACCAGACGTCCGCCGCTCTGACCGAAGCTAAAGGACGCGCGTCGCTCTCGGGAGCCTCTTTGTTTCTCTCGACGCCGTCTTCCTTGTTCTGTAGTCAGCAGCCGAGGAGAAGGTGACCATTGCACAATCCGCGGTGGGCTTGCACCCGGACAACCAGGCTCGTCGTCGCGATCGTTTGGGGCGCTGATGTATCTAGGGGGGGGGGGGGGCGACAGGGATTACCAAACAGAAATCACGAGTACCTTAACGACTCACCTCCGCATTCTTATTCTCCCTTTCTCTTTCTGCCTCTCTACCATAGATTACAAAAGGACAGCAGACTTTTAAGCATCTTATTTCTCCTTCTTTTTTTCTTCTTCCTTCTTGATCTTGAAGCACACCCTCACTCTTCTACATCGCACGCATTCGAGCAGCTTTTCGCCTCTGGATATACTTTAGGCCCAAACTGATGATTCATTTCCAATTACCAGCGTGTATACAGGTACACATACACAAACAGGCGCACGAGCGCGCCTATGTTCGTTTGTATGTGTATCTCGCTAAATATCTTGCTATCTCATGATCTTCGTAAAGATCCTTTGTTTAACAAAGTATAATCCTCTCTTCACTAACGATTTTTCAATATTGCCGATTTTAATGTCGATTTAACTCCGGTGAATATTCTTATTCCAACTGAATTATTTGAACCAGGAAAGTCGTTTTAATTGCATAAACTCTATAGCGGAGCAACGTTCGTGTCGTATTTAAATACTCGATCATTTCATTCGATACGACTTTAAAATTTATTCCAAAATATTTTATAAAATGGTGAAGATTTAACTTATACAATAATCATTTGCAATATTATGACCGAAAATGTTTTTTTTTTTTTTAATGTTATAAAATAGTAGAAAATAGTTCTTAAAATCATTATTAAATAATCAAGAGTATTTATCAAATAATTGAAGTAGACGCGACTGTATTATGAAAAATTATAAACGTTCATATTTTTAATGCATGTAATACAAAAATGTTGTAATATAATGTTTGAAAACGCTATTGCATTCTATTTTTATGCCAATAATACACGTGCGTACGTAGTTGAATTTAAAAATACAATTTTCTATAAGACCAAAAAAAAATGTGTCCCTATAATTATTGAATTAATTTAACCCCGATTTCATGTTTATTAATAATGAAAATGATTTTCTAAAAATTATGACTTTTTTTTCTTTGTTTTTTTGTTATTTGTTATTTGTTATTTGTTATTTGTTTTTTGTTTTTTTGTTTTTTGTTTTTTATTCTATTAATCTATATTTATAGATGCCTGTAGTTAGTACTCAATTATTCTTTATTATATAGATAATAATAATCGATAAAATGATTGTTGAAAAAAGACAATGGTTGGACAATTGATGGACAAGTCCGATGGGAATTCGTATTTAAATTCGTATAATTACAGTAATCTTTCGTGTTAAATGAAACATTATACTAACCGCTAAATAGTGTAAACACAGGATTCTGAAAATCATAGGATTAATAACATTTTCTATGAATCACTATATTATTATTATTATTTTACTTCTATTTCAGGAGTGCATATGCATATTATGTTTTCGGGACGTCCAGCACTATAATTTATCCAAATTTTTTTATAATCCTACATGCCACTTCTTTATTTTGATTCTACTTAATACATATTTAAATACCCATGATAAATTATACTATTAATCCAATTCTTTACATTTAACCGAATAAAGGAACAACGGTGGTTATAAGCCTGCGAAACCAATAGAAAGTTTAATTAATGTAACTATCAGATTATTAATATATAATATTAGTATCGCTAGGACTTGAATATAAAGCATTTCAGTATTAATATAAGTAGACAGGAGCTTAACAACAATTTGTCTATTTATCCTAAAAAAATTATCTGAATAATTATGATTAATATGACATAATTAATATCTTCTTGTAGTTATTGTTTGAAAAATTTTTCTCTTGTGAAACTTTTATCCGATCGCAAGTAGAATATAGATGAAATTCGTGAAAAGTAGAGATGAATTTGATTGTTCCCCACTGTTTTTCATTCATAACCAATGGAAGGTGCGCGTATTTTCATTGCTTGGTAAGCTTATATAAACCATCCAAGTAATGCCGCACATGGCAGTCGAGCAGAGTCGGGAGTTTGGCAAGTTCTATGAATCAATATAATTACTCTTCTTAGATTTTTTGGTTAATAGCGAGGAGTAAAAAGGCTTTCAAATATTTTAATAATTGCACAAATGTGATATTATTTTATCACGTCGGTGACGAATCTTAGAGATAATATTTTCCTTATAAACATTTAATTAAACAATTACAAGTAGAATTACGCGCATCATACATTCTAAACGATATAAGACCATGCGACATTTAGAAAAAAAAAAAAAAAAAAAAATTGATTAATTCACGAATAAATGATTCCTCCGTGGTTACAAGATTTATTAAAATTATAAAGAAATAATTTATAATTATAACGAATTTTTGAAACTAATTAGCCCCGGTCCGGTAATGTGTGAAACCAATTGAGTTTCATCGTTCAAAATCACTTTTAATAGCTGCTGGATTATGTGGTAAGTTATATTATTAATAATCGTAAGTAATATCATTTAACAGAATTTTTATTCTTAACTAAATATTTCTTACGGTTCATATAATGAATGCACACAATTTCTAAAGCTATTATGTCAAAGGGATTATTTATTGAGATGATTGTTGCTTTCGTCGCACTACATTAATATAATGCACCATCGATATAATCTTTCATATTCAAATACAAAACATTATTTTGGCTACAGAATATTAAAAAATCTCACCCATTAGTAAATTTATTAATTTTACGATACTTTATGCTAATTATTTAATATATATTGTTGTTTCAATTTAAAAATATCCTTTTACTTATTTATAAAATTTTCTCGTAGGCGTCGTATGTACGTAATTTCCGATATCAGTCTTTTCTTTTTTTTTCGTGTTATCTTTAAATCTTGTATTAAATCAACGCTATGATATTTAAATTTTTATAATTTTATCTTATCCTATACAGGCCAATTATTTTATTACTTACTCGTATCCGTCGTAATTACGATTTTATTTGCAATAATTGCAAATACTTTCTTTACTCATTCTATTTAAATGGACTTTCTGAAAAATATTGCTAAATAATTATCGTTCCTTCATAAACTTTATTTTTTCTTCTCGGTATTTTTCTTACGCAATTGTTTGGCAAAATGATTGCCATTTTATAGGTTACATAATTCAATCATTTTTTTGCAAACTGCAAACAGAGTCGCAAAGAATATAGAAATTGTTTCTTGATTAGTCCTTATTTGACATTTTTCTTTCTTTTTTTTTTTTTTTTTTACATAGTACACTAGCATAAACTATTGTCTGAATCCATACATGAAATTATAATAATTGTTATATTATAATGATAAAACGACTGTTTTACATTAATAAACTTTTTAACTCATCTTAAATTCATATGTTAAAAATTGAAGAAAAAAAATTTTGTAAAATGAATGCATAATTTCGAATAACAGCTTTTCTCATCTTCTAGTTTCCATTAAAAATCGCACATGAAAATGTCTGACAGTCAAAAAAATGTCGAGATCAATCAAACTTCGCCAAGACAATGTTTAAATAAGAAAATTAATTAATTTATAATATGTAACGAGGCTAGAGTTGCATTTTCACTTTTCGGAGTGATTTAAAAGTTGTAATTGTCAACACAGCAATGATTATAGTTTTATATTATATATTTTAAATGAGAATATTATGTGTGTTTGTCTATATAATGTGCGCCCAGATATTAATGAAAAAATAATTTTCCAAATAATTAATTTATTATTATGAATCTAGGACTGTAATTTGATAATTTAAAAGCTCGTTAAGAAGTAACGATTTTGATTAGATTTAATTGATAATTACGATTATATTGAAATGTTTACTGCATTTGACTTTCCACTATTTCCTTATATTTTAATAAATACTCGATATAAAGCCATAAATATTTATTGAAATATATGATAATTCATTTTGCAACAATTATACGTCTATTAAAATATTGCAAAATATAATAACTTATATTTACATAGTACGTACATTTGTTTATAATTATCAAATATTTTAAATATTACCGTCTATCGCGAGTAATGAATTTTTCGGAAATTTTTATCACATTATAACAAGTAATTCTTTAATACTCGTAAAACATTAAAATATGGAGTGTAATGAAATATAGATATTTAAAAATATAAAAACGTATCTAATTAATAAATATCTTTCTTTTAATATGTACGAATGAATCTCATTCGAAGCATTTATGTCTGCAATTAAAAATACTTTTTTATTTGTATTGGTAAGTATGCAACGCTGAAGCTTGTACGTGAATCTTCTTGACTATCTTAGCAATAATTTTTCTTAGCAAAAAAAAAAAAATAGAAATTTCAAATTTTTAAATACTTCAATGTCTTCGTAATTATTATTACGGTGGCTTTTTAAATTCTTCGAATAAATCAAGTTTATAAAAAAAAAGATGAATATAAATTAATATTCATAAATTCATTCATATTTTTATTTAGTCAAGTAAAATTTGTATTTGCAATTAAATATTAAAATATTATATTTTAATTTACATAATTTTATAAGTGGTGATATTCTCTTAGGACTCAAAAATTTCGCATTAAGATAAATGATGAATATAAAAAGGTATAAAAAAAAAAAAAGTGCAGAAATTTGTAAGATTATGCATACATTGCAACTAAGAATAATAGA